CAAAGACTTATTGATGTTTATATGCGTGAGCAAATTACACTATGCATTATGTTGAATCCAGCTGGTCTAAAGAGGAATGAAATCTATGGTCTCATTAGTACTCACTCTAACAAATCTTGGGATACTCTGGTAGGAGCTGGTAGAATTTCTTTTCTTTTTCATCAAAATTAAGAACTTCAATACTTTGAAATGCTTTCTTAAACCATTAAGAAAATAAAAAAGATGATGCAGATATGAAGAAAATATTTGCTAATCATAGTTCTACTTTTTTTTTTCTTTTTTTTTGGACAGGTTTTTGCTATAGGGCGTGTGCGCTCGCCAGACAGACAGAGAGAGACAGAGACAGAAAGTGAGAAATCACCCCCTGGGGGGATGGCCACGCCACAATCCCTTCTCCTCTGTTCTCCTCTCGGAATCTTGGGCATGCATGCACACGCGCCCGGTGTGAGTTTTAAGCCACCGGGTCTGGGATGTGAACCATGGTCGACTACATGGGAGTTCAGTGACACAGCCATTACGCTAACTGCTGGTCCCAATATTTGCTAATCATATTTCTGATTAAGCACTTGTATTCAGAATATAATGACTCAACACTAAAAATGATAACTTGATTTTGAAATAGGTAAGGATACCAATAGACACCATGCCAAAGAAGATCTATGAATTACAAATAAGCACATTAAAAGATCTATAGCTACTCCTCGCTTAATGTCCTTCATGTTTAACAACCACTTGGACTTACCGCCAGGTCTCCACTGTGGGAATTTCTTTTCTCAAGCTTCATCTCTTTCCAGCAGTGCGTCTGAATTCACTACATGAAGTGTAGCAATTATACAAGACAACAGATATTGTTTGTAAACTTGTACTGTATTGTATATAAAAACGATGCCAGACTCACATTATTGTGTCATGTGTTGTGGTGTGTCATTTTCTGCTTTTTACATGGATAGAATTACATTATTCTTGTGTGGTGTTGCATGATATCTATTTTTAAATCTAATATTATTATTTGTCTTTTTAAATCTTTTTTTGTGTGTTTCCTATATGTTTTACTCCCCCCCCCACCCGATTCCTTACCTTTCACCCTCTGCCATTTCCCACCTTCCTCCCACATTGT